AGGAAGAGCTTAGTGTCTTCATTATGTGTGGTGTTAAATCTGACATATGACTGGGTTGATGTCAGTGATCGACCAGCTGTCGTTTTCTCCAGTAAAGAACGGGAATGACAGAACAAAATCGTGCATAATTTAGCAGCGTACAGGCAACCTACCTTGCCGACGAATGCCCCGATCGGGAACAAATTTGGGCTCGTTGCTGTCGCTTGCCAAAGGATCACCCTTGAGCACTACTTTGTTGAAATCAAGCTAGCAAATCAAGTTAGTTAGGTTTTTGTTGTAGGCGGCCATCGACTGACAGTGACACCCATCCAACTGCGCTTGGTGACCAAGAATCCACGATCCTGTAGGTTTCCTTCTCACTGCCGTATTGGATTTCGATTTCAGCGGGGCGCGTTTCAGGGTCTAGCCGCTTTGTGAGGCTTTGAAGGGCGTCTCCCGCGTTTTTTGTATCACTGGTGGCCTAGGGATTTGTTAGCTAACGAGCGTTCTTGGAAGAAATAAGTTAGGATATCCATTTCGCACGAACCAAGCTTGTTACCTGTGGTGCATTGTGTTGAACCTCAGCCAAGAGATTGAGGTACTGTTCTGAGTAGGAGAGGTTGAAATCGATCAGCTCGGGAAGAGACTTTAGAGTTGTCCTGTCAAAAACGCTTACTGTACTGCTCTCTGAGTTGGAAGGACTTCGCATGCACGTCTCTGCAGATGACAATTCTGTACGCAACATATCGGTGAGCAGGCTTTTGATAGTGAGAAATATTACATAATTTGAAGGGAGACCAACGTCTCGTGAACAGTGAAGAGTCATGAACGCTAGCGTTTGAGCACCATTCAGGAAAGTCTCGCCGTATTACAACTTTCGGTATATATAAGTCTTTTCTCTCTCCCAGCCCAGAAACTTTGAATAACACAAATCTTAAAGGCCGGGGGAAGAAAAGGTCTACATAACTCAATCCCGATCAAAAACGGGCCCAGTATTGTATGCAGATGCTCAGCATCCCCGTACCGCCAGCGTGAGTTATCGATCAGGCCCTAATAGTTTCCTCAACTTGGTTGAATCTCAGCTTGCTCATCCGTTGAATCGCCCTGTGGCGGAATCGAATCATCTTTGCTGAAAATAGCGTTCATGGCTGGCACGGCCGCATCAATCAGCGGACCTAAGTATCTCACTGTTAGCGATCGTGGCCATGGGGTTTGAGTCCACGAATGTCAATTCTTACCGACACCAGGGACTACATGAGCCACTTTGCTGGCTATATTGCCAATTGTTCCAGCAATGGGCGAATCTCTCTAGACAGACACTCGCTTTAGTTATGACCTCGCCACATGAACGTTTGTGAGACTATCGCCGCAGCGTGATAGGTACAAACTTACAATTGCGTTTACAACCCCAGACATGGCATTGCCGATGGCGCTGAATAAACCCATCTTGCAGAACTGCGCCGCAAGGCTTCGAACTGTGTGGACAAGGATTGGGTCAGAATAGCTGCAATGCCGACTTTGGGGAAGGTAGGTATTATGAATTAGCTGATTGCAAAACCGAACGGGAAGGCTGTGAGGTCTTTGCCAGCTAATCACCGCAATTTGTAGACGATTCTGCTGGTTCAGTTGAGTAGAAGATGGACACCACAGATGCGGGCCAAGGGGGCAGAAAACATGAACCTGCAATGCGCCAAGGTGGGAGCCTCCACCTTGGCGCATAAGAGTGTCTGGACCGCTCTCAATCGCCGTTGTAATGCACAGATACGAAACCAGAGTGCATACGACACTCAAGTTTGAATGCGCTATTGAACTGATGTTCTCGCTATTTATTACTAGCTTGTACTCTGCTACGATAAGAAGCTGTGTATGCATGGGTTGGACGAGGGATGAGTCCTTCACCGCTGAGAACAGCCCGCCACAAACAATAATCTGGGACCCCACTCCCCAATCGAGTCGAGAAATTGGGCTTTCAGCTTCACCCTTGCACGCGTAGCGCCGGTTGCCCCTCCTTGAAAGTCGGAAGGCCGACATCGATGGATGCGTGCCATTTCCACCCAACTCGCTGAACTCGGAACCGAACAAAGTACAGATTAATAGGCCCCTAAATCAGTCGGGGATTGCCCGTATGATAACAATCCTAGTGCGTTGTAGGGTCGTGAATGCGTCCGCGCCCGGTTAATCAACCAAAACCCCCCTATACGAAGGACGTCCTGCCCTGTAGGGTTCCAGCCTCCAGCAGATTAGGCATCAGGCCTCAGCACTGCCGACTCATCCAAGGAAAACGGCTCGCAGGAGCTACGTTTAGCTGCAATAACCGGGTCCTATTTGCTCCTACATTCAAGTCCAGCTTGGGAGGCTTCGTTGAACAAAAGAAATTTACGCATTTATGTAGTTAGATGCAACCTGGGCTCTCTTTTTTGTATCTACACTGCTTGTAGTATAAGTGGTATCGTAATGCCTTTTAGGAGTCATCTTAGAGTGACACAATGGGAACGAGAATATCGCTCGATGCAAGGAGGAAAACATGTGACGGAGCGGAAGCGAAGAGGTGAATACACAAGGAGAAATAAAATTTGCCAGCTTCCAGTTCACACGAGCAGTTAAACGCTGTGGTTGGCGGTTAGCCCTTCAAGATGGGGATGGTAACGAAGTCATTGTATACGGACAACGGCACAATATTGTTAGATATAATGTTGGAAACATGAGGTGAACGCAAGAGCGGGCGACAGGGTTCCAGTAGTTACCTCGCGTAAATATGTGTACAAGTGGTCAAGAGATTTCCCACCGATGAGCACAAGGGGACCACAAGGAACACACGACAAATAAACATGTACAAATGTCAAATATCTTCCACCGATCAGCCGTCACCAGAGATGAGCAAGCACATCAGAAGAAAACCATGCACCGCACCTCGACACTCTCACGGCACTCTCCGTAGATATGATCCGGGTCCTCCACCGCACAATGCGGCACCCGCCGCGCCGCAGCGGTCTCGTCGCTGTCGAAGCACTTGAACAGCACCACCTCGTCCGGCTCCTGAGCGTACTTGAAGTACCACCGGTGGTCCGGATTGTGCTTGACTGTCCACGACTCCATCCGCCGCGTAAGCTTGGTGTAGATGATGGACGCGGCGACGAGGTCGGTGTCCGAGACGGATGTGGCGTCGGCGACGGCGAGCGGGTCTTTGTAGACCGTTTTGATGGGGCGCCAGACCTGTCACAACACGTGTGCGTTAGTTGAGTTTGGTACTCGCATAGTATTGCAGTGTTGGAGGCCTTGAAGCGGCGTCAAGCCTGATATTGGCAAAGAGTCTGGATTTGTTGACAGAAAGGGGGAGGTAATAAAAAAGGTTGAAAATGAACTGACATTGATGATCTGCCACCGATGCGAGAGCAGCTTCGGCTCTTCCAGCTCCTCGTCGGTGGCCACCTCCCGCAGGCGCATCAGCGCGCCATTGTACGACTGGTCGACGTGAGCACGATGCAGGGGCCCTCTAGACGCTGCATTGTTCTGCCCCAGTTTGTGCCAGTACGATGGACCGCGGCGTACTTTGTGGTCGAAGGCAAGGACCAGGTGACCAGCTCCGGTTCTACTTCCTAGTGTTAGAAAAAAGACAAATGGCGGGCGAATGAATTCTACAGTGTTGTCGACCGGGATTGGTCGGGTTGAAAAATCAAGGGGCGGCCGCAGACATCAAACGATAAGGTGTTGAACGGACAAGACAGAGAATATAGGAATAATAGGGGAACGTACATCTCCTTGACCAAATCTTCGCACTCCTTGTAGTACTCTGTGCAAAGGGCGTCCTCGTCATCAAAGGCCCCCGTGTGTCCGCTGGAGTGGCGATGGAACTGGAAGCCATGGGCATCGAGGGAAAAGTCCCCTTCTCGGCCGGCAATGTCCACAACCGTCACAGCAACCGGGGCCAGAGCACGCTTATTGGTAACTGTTTTACTGATGTCATGACATTAGACTAAAAGTCAGCCTTCTATTTTCTCTCGTGAGATCCGGATCATGCAATCCTGCAAAGAAGGGAAAAGGAGGGGATGATCATCTTCCTACCCCCCAACAAAAACCGGAGTCGGATCGCTCCCGTCTCCTGGATCGTCGTAGTAGTTCACCGCAGTGACAAGGTCGTGACCCATTTCTGCAAGGCAAATCCTGGGCAGGCAAAATCTGTGTGTCTGGTGTGGTGGTCGAATGGTGTGAAAATGGACAGTTTTTGCCGTGCGTAGGTTGTTGTTGGTTGCCACTCGAGTTCCCACCCATCATTGGCGGAATTCAGTACCCCCTCATCACCATAACCCCCAATCTCTGAGTACCTAGCATCCAATGGTAGCACTTTCCGGCTGGAGCTGGCTCGCCGGGCTGCTGATTTGCCGCGATTACGGATTACCTCAGCGGGCTGCTTGTCCCCTTGGGCTTAGGGGGTTCGTTAGCGGACCCCCCTTGGCAGGAACTTCCATTGGCACCGGGCAAAACTAGCAAGAACAACCAAAGGAGGAGACATTCCGCCATGTCAGCGAAGAGCAAAAAACACTGTCCCCAATGCAGGGCATTCCCTAAGCGATCCAAGACAGCTTCGGCTTCCTTTCCTACAGTTCGGGGCAATTGAAATCGTGTTCGCGTCGTGATGTTCAGACATGATACCACTCTGTGTCGTCGATCACATAACTTTTAGCTGGTTCTTTCGAAATCCCCTGACAGACAATCTGGGTTGAAAGACTTGGCGTTAAAAGAAAGCTTGTTGTAGGGGTGTGATGGCCGCTAAAACAAAATCTGGCTAGCCAAGCTTCGCGAGTAGGTTAGTTGACATGCAAACCAAGAATCTCGATCGTATCATCGGCCATGGGTTGTCACAGCCCTGATGCTAGTGTAGATCAGAAAATCCTTCATGAGTTGGGTTTTTGCTTGCTGTGAGACTGACTCGCGCCTGCATGCTCTCTTGTTGCGGTGTGGATATAGTGTCTAGCAAGGTGCGGACCATCAACATCTCAGGAGACCCCCCTCACAGGGAACAAGCCCGGCTGGCGCAATGGTAGCGCGCAAGACTTCTACTTCAGTGGATCTGCTCATCCAGATCACCGAAAATGTCAATCTTGAGGCTGTGGGTTCGAGTCCCACGTTGGGCTTACTTGTCTCTTATTGAGTTTATTTTTTGTCTCTGTCTGCTTTGAGTCTAAAGCAAGCAGCGAGACATGGGTGTTGCTTGTCAGGAGGACCCTCCACCCCGCCACAACCAGTATTTGTGTGTTTGCCTGCGTGGTGTTGACTGTGTTGGGACTGCTGCAGGCCAATGCTCGTGTGCAACCACACGAGTGTGATTGACCACACCGAGTGCGTCGGAGAGCAGAAACTAGCAAATGACATGAAGCCGGGGAAGCACTAGTGCGGGGTCAATCGTCGACCTCTTTCGCCCTTCTCCCTGGCCGCCATCGGCACGGCAGCCAGTCGGGCCTCGAGCAAACCGGCTTATCACCTGGATCTCGTTGAAGTCAAGGGCCTGACAAGTGCACCTGTTGTCATATAAAGTCATCGAGGGTGGGGGCGGTCGGGTCGCCTCCGCCTGCTGGTTACCCGACAACGAGCCACTTCCGCTTGCATCACGCTGCGAGATGACAGAAGGCAGGTTGCCAACTGACGGACGGTGCGCGCGAGGGCTCCCCTGGAGTCCTTAACCCCCCGGGGGAAAAGCAGGCTCATTAGTGTGCGTTGGCGAGTTTGTCGTTTCTCTTAGATAATCGCCTCGCAGTGTTATCGTGAACAGAAACTGCGGCTGATTGACCAGCTGGCACGGCCTACGAAGTTGCAGGACATCTCATACATGGCGTTTTCTCCGGTCTCAACCCCTAAAATCTCGACCGTGAGGTAGTCTTGGGGCAGTCCTAAATAGTACAAGATCGGCAACTTGTCTGGATCTAAGGGTGTCAGTATGCAGCCAGGGTCATGGGGGGGTTGGATTTACAGACCCAGGACTAGTAATGTCTTAGTAGCGTTGCAGTAGAAACGGGCAACTTGAATCGTTCACTGTCCTAATTTCTTTGACGTCTCGCTCGGTAAAATCTTCTCGGCGTTTGGTAATTGGATGCACATCACCTCATATGGAGTGTGGCCAGGAAGTAGAAAATTTACCCATCGCAGGACATGGGGTTCGGGAGCGCTTACGTCGCCTGTCGCCCGGCGTGTTGCGAGAAGGGCGGCCGGGGGAAGAAAGTCCTCCCTAACTGTCATGCGGCGTCATATCCACAGATGGCATTGCCCCTCCGACGAGGGCTCGGATGGCCATCAACGAGAAAATCTCTTTCCTCTTCTTCTTTTGGGGCTCTAAACTTCTGACTGACTGAAAATGCTGGACTCAACAAGACGATGCTGATCTTTGTGTGCTTCTGCTGGTTTGGCGGATAACGCTATTGGTGTTGGCAAGTCAACATTCCGTACCATTCGCACCCAAACGCAGACCGCCTCGATGAAGACTCACGAGCAATTCCAGTCTCAACCAACATGCACGGCCTCGCAACATTCCCATTTGAAAGAGGGAGTTGCAGCGCGTGTGGTTGCATTTTCCCGTCCCTCGCCTCTCTTTCTTTTCTCATGGTGGCTTGCTTCTTCTCTTTTCCTCAATGGTAAAGGCCTGCAGGAAGCCTGCCTCAACCTTTTCTGCAGTTTGCCGTGCGCTAAACCATTCCTGTCAGCCACTCGAGTGAGCACAGCAGCAGGAAATGTGAGCTGTCACAGCTGGAATAACAAAGAAGTGGGGTAGCGACCAGCGTGCAGGGAGTTGTGTCTTTGCTGGCCTCAACGAGACGCCCTCGAATTTGGAATTCGGAGATTTGAGCTGATACGACGGCTTCTGGCAGGCTGATCGTGGTAGGCAATGGACGTGAAGCTCGCAGCTGGGCGGCGCATTCCAGATTCCCAACGCTGGGGGTGCAGTCGGCCGAGTCCCTGTGCCTCGTGTTCCGTACTGACTGCTTGACCCCAACTGTGTCCGCTGCGAGACGGACCTCTTCCGCCTGAAAGGGATTGTTGGCAAACGCCCGGCCCGAGACAATTGGGACCGAGAACAGTCCATCACAGCGCCTCACGCAGTGATCGACATGGGCCATCCAATAGCACGTGCATGTGCTAAAACATGGACATGGGTCGCCGTCAGGACGCGGGGAATCGCAGCACCAGGCCCAAGTAAAACCACAGTGAAAGGAGTGTCAGTGTGAGTTGGCTCGCTGACCATGGTTGCCGGAACTGCTTGTTGCGGGTTGCCAGGACTGCCCCGTTGTTTGGTGTTGAAATGCAAGCATGGATGTTACCTCAGCAGCCTCATCAAGCCAGTCCATTAATCAGTGTGATCCTCTCCGAGTCGGCTACTGGCTTGGCCGGGGAGAAAACAACGCGAGACCGGCGAGCGGGTGTGCTGCCTGCTACCCTAGTGTCGACAAGGGGTTGCCATTGGCGGAGCACGTCCCGGACGCCTGTCAAAACCCTGAGTGGCCACAACAGAAGATAAGAGTGACTGCTGCTTGGCTCTCACCGCACGCACCCTGCCTGAAAGATGCTACCGTGACATAGGGACAAATTCGGGCGAGAGAGCGTCGCTATCCCAGCACTGAGTCGGCCAGGCGACTGCTCAGTCCTTGTGGGATGTTTCCTCGTAATGTACCAACCACCAGCCTTAATAACTCATCCACTGTGACGTGTGGGTAGTTTGCAAGGGGGATGCGAGTGTCTGCAAGAGGCTCAGAGTGACACAGACAAGGAGAAGCCTTTGAGTCCAGGTATTCCGTCACCGCCAAGATAGACAGCACAGACGTTGAAAGCATCGCCCCCCGAATAGGGATGGTCGGAATCTCGATTCGCCTGTCCGAGAGTCTCCGGTGGCTGGCGCTGAGGTGCGATCGACTGGGCATGCGATCGGCTGGAACGTTCTTTGGGTGCGCGGTGGTATGATAGATGCATGAAACCAACAATGACTGGCTGGGGGTCCACTTTTCAAATCGAAGTCCTCCCTGGTCTGCTCGCTCTCGTTCAGGAATTGCGGCGAGCACCCTGTCCGGATGTGGTGTGCTTGTGCAGCGGGAAGCTGGGGCTGGGAGAGGGCACGTTGTTTGCGTTAGCTGAATGCCTCGTTATAGTCATGTCGAGTTCAAGTTGTGCCTCCCTAGCGGTCCTTCGTAGGTACATGTACCCAGGCAGAGAAGAGAGGGGAGAGAGAGGGAGCAAGAGAGTGGACTTGGCTGGGAGACTCGGAAATGCGCCGTGTGGTTCTGTGACTGCAATCCAGACCTGGGAACCTCCTTCCAACGCGCTCGCCTTCTAGGGTCTCTGCGTCGTGTCGGAGCAGAAGCAGAACAGCCCAGGACCTAAAGACAGACCTCTACTGCGCTGAATTCAGAACATACCGCTGTTGGCGCGCACTCGGAATCAGTACCCTGTCAGCTCGACCAGACTATTAAACCCAGCTTTTGTCCCTTCGGTTCTCGATAACACTCGGATCTCGGCCACACCACAACAGACAATCTTTGCTTCAGCTGCTTCTCTTCTCCATCCACTTCTCCATCTCTCCGAAAGATCAACATGGCCCAAGACGAAACCTACTCGCCCCAAGACTCGCCGGCTGAATCCCAGGTATGCCAGTCTCCCCCTTTGTCAACACCAATGGCCCAAGACTATGCCTGGAGCTCGCTCCAACCTCTTGGCCGCTCGCACTGCCGACAGGCTTGCCACTGTCGTATCGATGCGCTAGTGTGGCTTTGGGGGATGTCGCTTTGCACAGGATTCGAAAGAATTGCAATCGGACTCGGGAAGTTGACAGGCAATCCATGATAGGCATACGACGAATCCAATGGATATTCCCTATCGTCGACTGATGCCGATGCGTCTGCTGAGTATCCTATCCAGCCGTGGGTAGCTAGCGACGTCGCAAGTCACTTTCTCGACCGCTCCGCACTCGGCTACCTCGGGCCTGCTAGCGCCGTCGAGCCATCGTACAGCAGATCCAGCCGCGTAAACTCGTCCTCCTCAGGCAGTGCCGGCTCCGACGACGCCATGGACGCCTCGTTGAACAGCTTCGGGGACGAGCCCTGGACTCCTATCACGCCAACAACTCCTCATGCTGCTCAGGGCCAGGCTGGCTACTTCCAGGGTCCGATGGCTGCCATCGGATACGCAGGCAGTACCCCTGTGTCGCCCACAATTCCCGAGTGGGCGGCCCATGCGACTTCGGCTTATCCTGACCAGTGGGCGAGCCCCTCTGGCTCTCAGAGAGAGGACAGTCCATCCTGTGAGCGAGCCTTCAGCAGCAATCGAACCTCGTCGTCCACCAAGACTCAGAAGATCGTATTGACAGTTAAGGGCGACGATGGTGCCCGCCCGTCCAACCATGTCACCCGAGCTACGTCAATTCCGGGCGACAAGAACACCGAACAGTCCCCGCTGGCAGCTACCCCCCTGCTGCGAACAGCGGCCCGCAGAGTTAGGACTCCCCGAGCCGCTCAGAAGCCAGGCGAGTCCCTTGAGCGGCAACGCGCCAGAACCAGCCACAACATTGTCGAGAAGGAGTACCGTGTTCGCCTGCATAGCGGCTTTGAGCACCTGCTCGACGTGCTGCCCAGCGGCGACATTGGTGGTTCTGGCGACGGCATCAAGGACAAGCGTCTGAGCAAGGCCGAGGTGCTCGACAAGGCCTCTTCCTATATCATGCTTCTGGAGGATAAACTGGCGAAGGAGAAGCGCGAGAACGCGGAGCTGAAGGCGGGCATTGCGAAGCCAAACCTCTAGGGCAGTAGTTAATGGCCAGCGGCGACGGAGGTCTGTTCGTATTTCAATTTTACGGGCCTGGAACAGGGGTAAAGGGATTGTAATGCAATGAGTATTTTTTGGGGGAGAGATGAAGGAAAATTTGGTTCAAAGGCCGACTTCTGAGGAGATGGAGGGAACCATTCGTTTCGGACAAAGGGGACAGCCAGCCAGACAGACATGAGCCAGATAAACAAGTACTTGTGAGTTTTTTCCTTTCAAAATGCCAACCGCAGGAGATGTGTGTGCTCAGGCAGCGCGACTTGATTATTGGCGGGAGACGCGGAAAGAAATGTGATTTGCCAAACAGTTGAGCTTGTTGTGCTGCCCAACGTCTCCCGTCACTAGGGTCTGGGCCCACTTGCCACTCACCCTCGATCGCTGAGGGTGGCTGCTGACCCACGAATCGGCACTAGGTCTGGGTCGTCCAGGGGGTAACCCAAACACCATGCATGACAGGTTCTTCCTCACACCCAGAGGAATTTACCGATGCTCGGGATCGTGCTTCGGTCCGACGCGACTCGGTAGTTCCCATCAAATTAAAACTTACCAACGGGCTCACCGAGTCTGGGCTTTTCACGTTTGAAGCATGATGATCGTACCATGATGGTATGTGGCTGACCGCAGCTGTCCTTCCGTCTGACCTTCCTCCCGAATCACTTTATTATTCCCCCAGGCGCAGGAACACAAGGTTCTGACACCACCTCCAACATAAGCCAAGTAGCCAGCCCTGCAGAGTCGCAGTGACACAGGAATCCTCTGTGTAGTGTTTAAACATCACTTCCCACCGCGTTAGCATTTTGCTGACGAATTTTCACGCATCGATCGGGGGGGGAGGGCGAAAGTGGATTGCTAATTCTTTATTATCAATTTCTTATGGATGCGTAGTACTCAAAAATGCAACACATTCCCATCTTTCTGGTAACGCTGCAACCAGGTGGTAGGTGACCCTGTAAGAAACTTTCCGGGCCATGATCTTTCACAAATGAAAATGGCCATGTTAGGATAGTGGTGAGTATCGTGCGCGTCGAAATAGTCGGAAATGACTACCAGACTCCTTCTGGAGTGCTCATGACGTGGGTTCGATTCCCAGACATGGTCAAGGCCAGCCAATTTCTTTTTCTTTTTTTTATAACTAAGCGCTTGACCTTGGAGCTGTCCTAGGTAAGTGCCACCGGTTTCTCAACACTTATCATCTAACAGGGAGGGACTGTGAAGTCTTCACTTGAAGCATCATGATATTACTTTAATACGTTTCCGTACCTGTCCCGCTACAATATACCTGTACCGCAATTATGGCATCATCTTGTATTTCACCTATCAACCTGGGGTAGTAATGCAAGCTATTTTCGTCTGCTCTCTGCATCTCATGAGGTGAAATAGCTCACTCCAATCCACCCACGTCATAAAACAGGGAGCGCAACACCACTGTTGCCATTGACTGCGGAGGTAGCTGAGCCACTCGTTCAGTCAATGTGAACAGTCAACACCAGTCTAGGAAAATCACATTCTTAAGTGTAGTTGTCTCAGTGGTTTTCATCAAGAAGAAGTCATTACATCACCGTGACTTCTTAAGGTAGGCACAAAACAGAAACGCACCCCGTTCATATGATCCGCTCTACATTCTTTGTCTGGTTTCTACAGAAAGCAACATCATAATGTTGTCTTGGCTATCGACACAGCGATCGCAAAGACCGTTGGGTTTACTAACTCAAGCTACAAATAGCGGTCGTGGCCATCGATGACAGAAGAGTCTCACACACCCATGTAATCAATCCTTCCTCTCCATCCAGGGCTGACACGCCTCATAGATGTCCCGAAAACCCTGGTATTTATACACCCTCTGGAACACGCCCTCATCCACCACCCGGGCCGACTGAAGCGACGCAGCAATGAAGAAGTCGACATAGCTCGGCTTGGTACCGAGCGCGAACGGTCCATCGGCCTTGTTCGTCTGCAATAGCTCGCTCAGGGCGCGCAAGTCGCTGTCTGCATCGTCCCAGGACTGGTCTTCTTTGCCCGGGGTGTTGAGCAGCTCTTCAAGTGGGCGGCAGAGCCGCTCCTCGCGCGTGCGCCGAAAGTACTCCTGCGAGCGTGGCGACAGGATGTTGATCTCGCGCGGCATCACGGAGGCGCCGAAGACCGGGCCGATGGCGCGGCGTCCTTTCTCTTCGATTTCACGGGCTAGGGGTGAGGTGAGCGGGACCGCCGGGTCTAGGTAGTGCGACTCGAGGAATTGTGCGATGGGCACCGAGTCCATCAGGTACGTGTTGCTTGGTAGGTGGTGGATCGCGGGCACGGTGTGCTTGAGTTTGACTCCTGATGGAGACTCGCCGGGGACAAGGCCGCTGGAGATGTAGTCAAGGTCAGAAGACAGAATATCTGAAGCCAAGTTTCCTCTACATAACTTACAATCCCTCAAGCGTTGGCCCAATATCCGGAAACTCAAGAAAGACGGTCTTGTACGGAACGCGCTTGTAATTGAGCATGAGTCGGATTCGCCAGACAACAGGCGAGAAGCACACGCCCTTGGTGCAGGCCAAATCGTACAGCACAATCTCAGGCTCAGCGTCCTTTGGGGCGGCCATATTTGACTACTGATGTTGAGGTTCTGATAAGTGTCGTGGCTGGTGCAATGGGGAGACAATGAGGAGAGATGATTGAGTTTGGGCACGAAAAAAAAAAGGGGGGGGGGGGTGAGAACAATCTTCTCCCCAATCACCAACCTATCACGTGACAGACAGACCGCGTCATCACACGAAGTGGAGGTGATGTCTGCCTAATAGGCATCCAGGCACTTGTGAAGGGTACCTTTATAAAGCAATGTTATTTCTTTTATAAATTGCGAATCGCTAAGTGACAGGAATGCCTGTCGCCCCCTATGGAACGTCCAAACCGTCGACGTTGAGGTAAAGTTGCCAAGTATGACCTTTGACTCTAAGACAGGGTACCTTTCAAGTCACATATCCAGGTGAGAAATCAATGCGCAGTGGCAATACTTCAATTCATGTACTACCTGCCTGTCTAGATCCCGTCCTCTCAACTCCGGTGACACGCTGGAAGCTCCTCGATTGAAGTAGCCCACACTCCAAAATGAGCTGTTCCGGAACTTCTGGACCAAACAGTTCTTCCCTTGAATGGCTAAAACGTGTTGGTTAGGAATAATCAAAGTCAAGGTATTACTCGAGCACGTACTGGCGTAAGGTCTTCTTGAACTTTGTCAGTCTTGGAATAGAGGATAACCCTAGGAATCGTCCAGGACCATCTCCACAACGGTCGCCAGACTCTGGAATGAGCTGTTACGGAACTTCTGGACCAAACAGTCCTTCCATTGAATGGCCTAGAATGTGTCAGTTGGAAGAACCTCAGAGCGAAAATTATCGTTAGGCACTTACTGGCGTAGGGTCTTCTGCAACCTTGTCACTCTTGAAATAGAATATAGTCCCGGGGATGGTCCAGAACTATCTGCATGGAGGTCACCAAACCCCGGAGTAATCTGATGCAGAACTTTCGAACCAAACAGTCCTTCCCTTGAATGGCTTGAACCGTGTCAGTTAATCGCAATAGGGCACTTGCTGGCGTAGGAAATTCTGCAACCTTACCACTCTTGACACAGTTCCACGTATGGCAAACTGGGCGAGCTCCCAGTCCTCGATCTCCCAATCTTCTTCGTCATCTTCCTTCTCGTCGTCCCTTTCTCCCTCTTCTCTCACTACTCCTCATCCTCTTCATCTTCGGTGACCAACTGGTCTTCGAGGTTGAGCCAGAACAGCACTCAGCACATCAGCAGCCGCGCCACAACATATAAAGCCATGTTGGGCCCAGGAAGTGCAGGAAGTGGAGGAGCAGGCACGCGGCGGTGACCTTGGCATAGCCACGGAACGATCCACGACCAGGGGAAAATTGGATCCGGTTCAGCAGGCTTCTGACAAGCCAATCCCGCGAGGATCCCCACAAAGTTGATAAGGACAACGGCGTTGGCGAGGCTTGAAACGGTGATGGCACTTGGCTTAACTGTAACTCAAGGTTTAAGGCAGCCGTTGCTTGCACCTGAATAAAGGAAGCAAGGGGTTTGCTGTTTTGGCTATGCTTGCACTCCCAGGTAAGTTCATGCCGACTTCGGGCCGATGAGGCGAGAAAACCATTTGGTGCGCGATGAGACTGAAGGGCGCGATGGTGGTGTTGGCGTATTCCGAGTCTGCCATCAGAGCGGGCGTGACTTACTGGGCTGAAAGCAAAGTATCTGCTGGAAGAGGAAGAAACCACAGACCAGTGTCGAGGTGCTCAGGCATGGCCGAACATCCCCTCCGCCGGTCTGCAGCCCCCTCCGCGAACCCAGGAGGCGGCATCCTTCGCATTGCCAGATTTCCTTTTCTCTCCAAGCTTTAGGCATTTCGGCGAGGCGTTCAAAGACCGGCTAGCCGCTTTGTTCGAGGGCATTGACAATACCCCTGGATCAAAGAGCTTTGCCTTCTCCAGCAAGTAGCCATGATGGGTAAGCAGAACTGGCGGTGCGGGGTGAAGCGAACTCCATGCAAAAGAAGAGGTGCAACAATGAAGAGGACAAGAGCGAGGGCTTGGAGAAGAAATAAGAGCTGCTAAGGAAGGTGGGGCTGATCAACATGCTCGTGACCTGCCGAAGCCGGCAGAACTGAGCAGGAGGGGACTCCAGCAGCCTGCACTGGTAATCCCCGTCTTGTTTATGGGTGGTGAATCAGGTCCAGGTGCTGTGCTAGTGGAGGAGCCTAACCAGGTGAAAGGGGCCCCACAGCGACGAGCAGCGGTCAGCCTAGCTACACTTGACCACTTTTGTTGCGAGTGCGTTGGGGCGAGAAACCTCTTTTCTTCCAGGTTCGTTCGCATCCACGCCACAACGCGAACCTCGAGAAAGACAATCCTCCAAAATCACTGCAGGGCAAACCTGGATATCTGATGTCTGTTACCTGGCCGCGCGCCCGCGATTTCATCTTCAGTCACGGCCCAGGCGACGACATATTGCCAATACTCCGAGCTATACGAAACGAGGCGCCGTCCTGTTCCCATCGCCGAGTGGTGTTACGCCCGGGGACTCACACGCAATAATTCTCACAGCATACCTATTATACCCGACGACAATGGAGACTACGGACGAGCGAAAGCGGCTCTACGACAGCGTTTTGACTGCTGGAAGGACGGTGGGTGCACACTGCTCCTGCGTCTCCATTACCTGCCCCCCGCCCCCTTCCTAACGTTTCACCGCAGATGGGGAATTTAGCCAGCTAACGTAGACATGCGTCTCAGGAATCTGCGAAGCTACGGGAGGTAACCCGTGGAAGAATCTCTCACTCTGTCTCAGTCGCGGTTTTCATCTTCTACTGGCAGGTTGCTGCTTTGGGTGGCGGTTTTGAGGACAGCATCAATTCTCTTCGCCATCTTTTCTCTGAGGTGTACGGCTATGCTGTAGAGGTTTTCGCCATTTCATCGTCAGGACTCCTGCGGAAGATGCTGGATTGGGCAATCGAGCATGGAAATTCAGACTGGAACCCGCTGATCGTCTACTATCTCGGACATGGGTTGGTGTCACGACCGGGAGAGTTGACGCTCTGTGATGCACAACACCTGTGGCAGTGAACAATAGGCTAATGTCACCATGGTACTAGCTCAACTGATGATCCTCACTGGGCGTCTGTTGTTAACTGGTCGATATTGGAAGGTCTCCTGATGGGGTTCCCGGCCGATAAACTCTTCCTCCTCGACTGCCCCAATATGCCAGCTAGCCGGTCCGTTGGGCGGCATCGACGGGCCCAAGGGGCAACGCAATCCATCTGCGCATGGTATCCCCCGCCGCCTAACGCTGCAATCCCGGCGCCCGAGGTGGTTGAGACGACCACGAACGGGGTTCAGACCATTACTATCGAAGATGAGACATTCGGGAATGGGTCTAGACAATGAGGAACAACCCGGGCCTACACCCGTTCACCGCCGCGTTGGTATCGGCATTCCATCAACTGATTCACCGTCCGGCTCCGTTCCCTTTCTCGGATCTCTTCTCATTGCTACTCCACAATTTACAGATTGGTTTGTCTCTCGGCCAGCCGAGCGCAGTGCATTTCGCGTACATT